TGTGAAGAACCAACTAGTTAAGTCGAAAGGGAAGTTCGACAAGAAGAAGTCAGATGTGAAGCAGACCGAAGCAGACCTCAACGAACAAGACACATGCCTGCAAGGTTGCAAGAATGTGTGATCACATCAAATGATGTGGTCAATGATGAAGGTGAGCTGACACACTATGATTTTTAAGCAGGTGTCGAACTAGTAAATGCAGTTGAGGCATTGAAAGATTCAAAATGGTCAAAAGTAATAAATGAGAAACTGAAGTCCATTGAAGTCAACAACACTTGGTCACTTGTCGAATTGCCTTAAGACAAGAAGAAAATCGATGTGAAGTGAGTATACAAGGTGAAGTTGAATTCCAAAGAAGAAGTAACTTGACACAAGGCAAAACTTGTGGAGAAAGAGTTCTGAAGGAATTAACTTCGACGGGATTTTTGCACTTGTTGCTAGGATCGAAACAATAAAGTTGGTTGTTGGTCTAGTTAACATGAAAAATTGGTACATATGTCAAATGGATGTGAAATGTGCATTCCTGAATGGTTCCTCAGATGAAGAAGATTATGTTGTACAACCAGCTGGGTTTATGTAACAAGGCGAAGAAAGAAAGGTGTACAGGTTGCATAAAGCCCTGTATGGACTCAAACAAGCTCCAAGAGTTTGGAATAAGAAGATAGATAGTTTTCTAATGGAGAAGGAATTTATGAAGTTCACAACTGAGCATGGAGTATATGTAAGAAGAATTAATAGTGAATTGCTTATACTATGTCTTTATGTCGATGACCTGCTGATAACAGGAAGTTGCAAGAAGGAGATCGAAGATTTCAAACATGACCTAAGTGAGGAGTTTGAAATGTCAGGCTTGAGAAATTTCTCATACTTTCTTGGCATTGAGTTCTACAAGAGTAGTAGAGGCTTGGTGATGCACCAAAGAAGATATGCAGGCGAAATACTCAAGAGATTTGAGATGCAAGACTGCAGCCCAACTTTGACTCTAGCTAAGCCCAAATTGCAACTATAGAAGACACAAATAAAGATGATGTCGATCCAACACAATACAGAAGACTCATTGGATCACTTTGATACCTTTGTCACAGAAGGCCTGATCTAGCATACAATGTAGGTATGGTGAGTAGATTCATTCAGAAGCCAAGAGTATCACACCAAGCAGCGACGAAGAGGATACTAAGGTATCTGAAAGGGACTCTCAACTATAACATTTTGTTTCCTGCAGCTGATGAAAAAATAAAGTGCAAGTTAGTGGGTTACACTAACTCAAGTTGGTGTAGTGGTGCTGAGGATGAAAAACCTACAGTTGGTTATGTGTTTATGTTAGGCGGTGCACTGATTTCTTGGAATTCAAGAATGGATCCAGTAGTGGCATTGTCGTCATGTGAAACATAATACATAACTACTTTTTTGTGTGCATGTCAAGCAACATGGATGGTGAATCTGGTCAAAGAAATTACAGGGAAGAATCATAGAGCAATTACCATGAAGATCGACAACATGTCTGCTATCAATCTGGTGAAGAATCCGATAACACATGAATGAAGCAAGTACATCGAAATGAGGTTCATCTTCGAGAGTAGGTAGCAGATGCGAAAATGAACTTAGAACATTGCAGGACTGAGAATCAAATTGCAGATATCATGACGAAAGGAGTGCATGTCGAAGTGTTCAAGAAACTAAGGTCTATGATGGCTGTAGACAACTTAGACACAACAAATTAAGTGGCGTGTTGAATTGTAATTCCTTGTGTCGAAGCAGCTAGTGCTCAACAGAAACAAGGACGAGTCAAAACCTGTAGTGTGTGTCGAGTAGTATTAGACATCAAAGTGTTGAAGAAGGTTATTTGAAACAGAATTTCGACTTAGACCAAAATAGGTATTTTGAGCTTTTATATTTTTTGGGTTTTACCTTATGGAGAAAGGTAGCTCAATTATAAATAGAGGGAGTAACCCCTATTTTGAATAATAATCTTGTAATCACTTGCAGTCGTAAAATTAACAAGATTTTCTATAGGTCGTGGGCAGAGAGAAACTCTGCATAAATCATCTTCTTCTTCTCTAATTTCCGTCAAACCTTAACCTTCATTCTTATTCAATTTTTCTTTCTTCTTTCATTAACAATTGCCGCGCATAATCATTCTTACAATCAAGGTGTGATTGATTCACTCAAGTGAAAAGTGAAGAGCAAGAGAGGAATTTGATCGGTTGATTGAATCTTGTTCATCAAGATTGATTCAGAATTCTCCAAGATTGAGTTAATTCCAATAGGGACAATGGTTTCGCCTAAAATCATTTAGGGGACATTCTGGAGATACATTTTCGGATGTACCCAAATAACGTACAAAGATGACTCTTTAGACTATATTTTTTTTAAAATGGGGTGGATCTCAAAATAGCGCTTTATGGTGTGATTTTGGATGCGTCTTGAATGCTTGAAGTGCATTTTCGAATTTTAAAAGCGTAGAAAAGAATATCTTCAAATTTTATTTTTATATTTTAACTCAAAATACAATATAATAATAAATTTATTTATATTTATTTAAATAAATTAGTCCGATAAAGTTAAAAAATTTGTTTATGCCTCAAGCCTTAACCTTTTTTTATGCTTGTAAAAAATTTCTAAGTTTTTCTATTTAAAAAAAATCTAGTATAATTTGAATTTGTGTGCTAGGTCTTAAGTCGTATTAATTAATTTCAACGTATCAAGTAATTTATTTTCCACACACTAGACGCGCGCCCAGAGACAATGAGATTGCATAATCTTCCTTTCACGATTCCATGGATATCGAAATTATCACAGTAGAAAATTTATACTAATATAAAAAACACATATCTAATCCCATTTTACAATTTACAACCACACTAACACGCGTTTTTAAAATTAAAATTACGATAAATTTCACATTAACTTATAATTAATTAACGGCTAAAAATGTTCTAAAAAAAAAGCGGTGAAATTCGTCTTCATTAGATTTCGCCGTGTGTTGTGCTGGTATTCTTACTGTTACAGTTTTTGGGCTCTCTCGCTATCTTATACTCGAAAAATCAATTCGACCCGACCCGATCTAAACCGACCCGAGTTTACCTTTTATCATCGGTGCAGATCCAGCCCGTTAAGCGCACCGATAAATTTCCATCCTCTCTCTCTTACAGCTTTCAATCTCTCTACTAATCAGGTATTTTTCTGTCTTGTTCGAATTTTGCTTTGAATGTACGTAGCAACGGTTGTTTATTTTATTTTTTTTATAATGACAATTCGATTGTATAATCTCATTTTGTTTTTCTATTTTATCATTTCAATTTGGATATTGTATCTGGAATTGATTTTACCTCACTTTGATTTCAAAATTTTCATGCATTTGTGTAAAGTTTTAGTTTTATTGATTCTTTGTATGATTTTGTGATGACCATGAGGTTATGCCTTGAAAAATCATGTTGCTGCATTGAAGCAGTTTTTTTCTCCCGTTTTATTTTAATTTTTTTTTATGATTTTGATCATTGAAGTCGACATTTAGTGAAGTTGGATTATTTGTTTATAGTAAATTTATGGGATTTCATTGTTTTTGATGAAAGAAATTGACTTTTGCTTCAGTTTGAATTCATTTTTGGTTTTCTGAGGTAGTCATTTTTCTTTCAGCTTCAAACTTGCTAGGTTAAGTTTCTACTACAATTGCTTATTTTTGCATATTAAAATCGATTTGCAACATTGATATTGCTCATTTATGCTTACCTTTATGTCTCATTTCATAATTGTTGCCATAGTGTGGAGTGTTGATTGTGTTGTGCCTGTCAGAAACTGGTTAATTTTTTCCTTTCAAATTAAAGGTTTTTTGGATTTGTCATTCCTGTTCCCTAGGTTCTAACCCTAATAGTTTTTTGATCGACAAAAGTATGGTCTTAATTTGTAGTTGCGGTTACCTTGAGGCTGATGTTAGCTGGCGAGGGCCGACATTGGCCTATGTGGTCTGCAATCACAGCCTGGTGGTGTATTTGTAGATGTCATATGACTTAGATGCTGCGGTCAGCCGATGGCTTCACAAGATGTGGCCTGCCATTTAAAACGGATGAAATTGAAATATATGCTTTGTATTCTGCATTTGTGTGTGTGTGTGTTTGGAACAATTAGTTCTTTCACTATCACTATAATAGGTGATCATGAGATTTCTATACTAGTACCATACTTAACTTCTTCAGATCTTGGTTTATTAAAACCAGAATCAATGTTGTTTAACTAAATTTTGACGGGCTGCATCAGATTGTAAGCCCAGATTAGGCCCGTTGTTGGTAAATTTTTTATTATAACGCCGCAATATTTATTTAATTGTATTTTACTTGTTTGATGATGAAATTATTTTTGGTGATATATGAAAATGTGCGTAAGTACCTGAAATGTTTATTTTCTTCTTGATGTAAGCTCTAAATCAGTTCCTCATCTTTTTTATATTGTTCTGCTACTATGTCACTGTAGTTCTTTGTTTTGATATTTTTGAAGAATGTTGGGGGTTCTTGAGATGCTTGCCTAATGCAGTTGGTATAGTTTTGATAGGAATTAAAAAAGAGTCAAATGTGCAATGTTTTATACACTTTGGCATGCATGGTTTGAGGCGTGAGGTTCCATTTTGAAGGATTGTTCTTTATATAAGCAACTTCCTTCAGATAAGATTAGGCATTTATTGAATAAAGTGCATGGCCCTAAGGGACTTCTGAAGAAGATATGTAAAGACATTTAATTGGATTGTTTTGCTACACCGGTGTCTTTGTTGTATTCTTAAATTGTGTTGGTTAAAGTGTGATTCATATATCCTTATGACTTATATTCCCGACAGTCATTTTTCTGCTCTATATTGTCGACTGAGGTGTTAATTTCTTGTATGGAGTTTGTGTGTCCAGAGTTCTTGCAGTCTATAGAACATTTACTGCACATAAGTTTCTGTCAATTATAATTATTACTTTATGTTTTATGGTATTTTTTTGATAGTTATATATAATGAAAAACAGGATATGGAGGAGGATATGGAACTTGTTCCGATTATCGATGTTCCTGATACCCCAGATAGATCAAACGTTAGAAACAATGATCGAAAATGTGTAGGTAATCCTGAGAACAGGGAGAGGGCTTTTCCTATTGCTGGTGAACTGAGTAACTGCAGCAAGTATATAATATTGTCCCCTGATAAGCCTTATCCTTCTCAAAAGCCTCCCATATTTAGGAGAGCCCAGACTGAGAAAGTTTTTGGACTTGGAACATCACACTCTAGTGGAGCTGAAAAGATGGAGAAGGGGAAAACTGTAAGCTCTATGATTCCTTCTAAGTCATCTCACCATGGGGGCATTCCTGTTTTCGATTTGACTGAAGAGAATGGGCAGTTGCCACAATCAAAGCCAGCTGTCTTACATCGTGGATCAAGAGATAACATAATTGAAGACAAGAAAGAATTGAAAGCAAGTATTGGGAACTCCTCGTTACCCTTAATCACTGATTTTTCTAATAAATCTAGAAATGACGCCACTGGAAAGTGTAAACTGGATAACAAAACACTTCCAGGTCCTCGTCTATTAATGGACCGTGGCAAGAGCATTTCTCTGTCCAATGATTCTCAATCTCAATCAAAAGGTGAAAATCAAGTTTCTTTGCCTCCTCGTTTGTCCACTGCTCCAGGAGGTAGAGGGCACAAGAGATTGGTACGAAATGGTTGCATTTTACCACAAAATATTGCAACAAGGGCAAAACAATCAGCTGAACAAAGCAGCTCTGAAACCAATAATGTTGAACAGATCCGTACTGGGCATTCAGTTTCTAGCAATACAGTGTCTCCTATTAGTGTTGATGATATTGTTGCTGAAGATAGAGTCCGTGGTAGAATGAAAGGAAAGGGGTTACTGATTTATCCTTCATCACATGGAACTAATGCTGGAACTATTCACATCGATAGCAGGTAATCTATTTGTTTCAGATTTGAAGTGTTTCTTAGTGGATGGCCTGAGGGTCATATCACGTTTCCAGTAAATCTTGCCGCCTTGCATCATGAGCTAGGCAAGATTTCTCGGCATGCATTTATTAAATTGTAAATTCATAAATGAAAAATTAACTGACATAAATGATATAGCAGACTAGTGAAACATATTATCCGTTGAATCTAACAATTTGGAAAGGCAAAACTTTCGAGTTTGCAATTAAAAAAAAAGGGTTTACCTCATTTATTTTTTGGGTGCATTTGTTGCCAGCAACAACTTGTATGCTTTTCATTTAAATTTATTAGATATTGGTTCCATAGGTTTTATGAAGCCTGTGTATTTATTGCTAGTCATTGTTGAAATATGCCTTCCACAATGGATACAGGGAAGTGTTTTAGATAAATGGACGTGATTTCAACATTCGAAGTCGCACCTGAAAATGAAATTAGATTATTTCCTTCATTACTTAAACTCAAATTTGCCTGAGTGGTTAATATTTAGAGGTCAATTTTATGACGAAATTGTCATGGATGTTGCCTTGACTATTTGAACCTAATAATTTTTAACTTGGACTGACTTCTTGGAATTTGGTGAAGTTTTTGTTAAATGCACATGTGTTTAGAATTAGGAGAAAAGGGGCAATATGGTGCTTCGTAGCTCCAGCAGCCCCACAGTGGAGGAGTCTAGAGGAGCGACCGATCCACTGTAAATTTCCTTATCTAGCTTGAATTTGCAAAAGATTGATTCTTCTATTGGAATGTATGACCTCTAGTCACTGGCTACAACTCCAACCGTGCCATCAAAAAGGTCCATTCCTGGTTAGAAGTGACTGAGAAAAATAACTAGCTTGTCAAGCCAAAGAAAAATCTTCCATTACATTAGGGTGGTTATGGTATAAAGTTGTTCCCTAATTTTTTTTAACTATCTCATTCGTACAAGAGGAAAGATGATTTGCAATCTTGCTTCACAATTTGGCAACTATTTTACTAAACCAGGGCAGTGGCACATATTTTGTTGGAAGCATGAATGCCGCAGTCATCCTCATTTGCAAAACTTAATTTGTTTGTTTAGGTTTTCAGGACTGATGCTGGTGGGTGGTTTTTTTTTTAACGTAATCTTGATGTTTGTAAAATCATTTTGGAAAGTAAAATGACACAACGTTCAAACATATCTATCAAGTTATTTTTGGTTTCCTAAATGTTTAGAACAGTTCATCTCTCATTTTTGTTGGATACTTATGCTGAGATTAAAAGCATTTAAATTTGATGCTACTTTAGCAGCCCCGTGGCCAATTATGAAGAGGCAAGTGGTAGCTTTAATAAACCAAGAAATTCATTTGAAAACCGGGAGAGACAAGGTGGTTGGAGAACTACACATAACGGTCAACACTCGTATGGTGTGAATGGGCATCATTCAAGGAATAATTATAATGGTGAGAGATTTGTTCACAAACATAATACGAACAGACTGGACAGAAGTGACACTGGGAGCAGTCAAAATGGTAAGCATATTTCTGGCTCTCTATCTGATCATACACCTCAACCTGCTTCGCTGATTAATCCAGATGTTGGTCAGTCAACTAGACCTAGTATTACGGCTGACTCGCTGACTAAAAGGCAAAGGAAACCTGAATCATCTTCTAGATATCCTAATGTAGCATCTCAAAACTTTGGAACTATAGTCGTCAATTCATCTGGGGAATCATCAAGTTCATCCCAAAGCCGTGTCTTGGCTCCTGAATTTGTTGAGTTGTTATCCATACCAAGTTTCACCAATGGACATATTGAAGGTGTAAATGACAATGACAACAATAGTTTGGTTGCCCGGGAAATGCAATTAGAAGCAGATGAGATATTGGCACGTGAACTCCAAGAACAACTGTATAATGATGATTATTTTGAAAGCAGTTGGGTCAGTTATCGTCTTTTGCTCATTTTTTATGCAAGTTGTTTTTTAAGACTAAAGGAAGTATTTATTTACAATAACTTGTTATATGTTGATTTGCTGCAGATTGATGAACATTTAGCACTCCAGCTGCAGGATGCAGGGGATATTCTGCCCACATCTTCTGATAATCATCAGATACCTCATCCTGTAACTGAGTCTCTCTCTCTCTTACTCTCTGATTTAAATATATACTACTAGAGATCTCTTTTCTATATAAGCAAAATTTCTTTTATGGGAGTTATACCAAATATTGCGTTAATAAAATAATCTGCACCTTTCAGTTCTATATATCACGATTTACTCATATTTTCTATATATATTTTAAATTTAAAAATTTCAAATGTGGAATTTAAAGGAAGGAGTGCCAAGGCACTTGGAAGCTACATACTGCTTACCCCGGTATCTCTATCTATTTACTTTTGTGCTTAACTCTATTTCTCTGTAAGAGATCTGGAAGGAATTAATAACTTCTATTTCTTACTTGACTTAAACTATTACATTTAGTTTAACCCTTTGATTGGTTTGAGAGAAGTTGGTAAGAGAGAGCGAAGATGGAATGAATTTAACCCATTTATTAATTTGATTAGTAATAAAATAATTAAGATATAATGAAATTCAAATAAGATAAATTACTATAATTGGTTCTGTTTAAGGATATTCTAGAAGATGACTACTGTCTTTTCAAATATAATATATCAGATCGCTTTTCACTTTCTATTCAACCAAACAAGAGAGAACAACCCATATTTCTCTCTCTTCTATTCTCTTATACCAAACAATACATCAAATATATTCTATTTCTAATTTTTTTTCTCTCCTCATACTGTTTCTCAACTCTTTATCTCTTCACACTTTCTTCTTACAACCAAACACAGCCTAATGGATTTGTAATGAGCAATGTTGTCAAATTGCAGCCATGGCGGATTGCGGTTGCGAAAATTCAACATAGCGCCATGGAAAAGTTGTAGCGTTGCAGATTTTGTATTGTAGCACCATGGTAGCCGCCATGATTTTAACGTTCATGGTGGTATAGCAGAAATTGTGTTCTTTTCTGGGTAATTTGTTACCGACCATTAAACAAGCTCAAAAATTAAAACTTTGATTAAATACTAATAACTCTCTTTATATACAAAAAAATTTGATTGAATATTTATAAAATCAAAAACCTTTTCCATTCTCCACCAATTCTTTTCTTCTTCTCCTTATGTTATCCTCTTGTCCTCACCCAACTCTTGTCCAGGTACTCTTCTTTAGGTTTTGTTTCTTCTTTTATTTCCTTACTAGTTTTGTTTCTTTTTTATTCCTTCCTACTACTCTCTTTTATGTTCTATTGTGTTGTTTCTTTTTTATTCTACTTGCATTCTTCCCCAGTACTAGAGACATGCCCCGACTATTTTATTTACCTTATATTATCTATTTTGAACTAGATATGAATTCTAGTTTTCTCTATATATAATTATGTTTTCTAAGTTTTATGAATTCTATTTTTTTTAGTATTTTGGTGCTATTTCTGTTTTTCATGCGTGTATATATAGATATAATAATTTGTCCGCCATGCTTCCACCATTTTTTGATCTGCTATATTTTCATGGCGGATTTTTGGCTCTCTGCGATTTTCCTCCATCTGCCATAGACAACACTGGTAATGAGTATGGTTTGATGTTATTTGTGTCCATAAGAACTAGTGGAATTGGTATCATGAACCTTGAATATGCTCATCAAAGTGTGGCTAAATGTAGATAATTGCTAAATAATAACTGATTGTTGATTGGGTAATGGTTCTGTTATTCATGCATGCACCGGTGTTTAATGTGTTAATTAATGAACAATCTATATTTATTTATTTACTTATTTATACAGACACGGATTTCGAGGGGAAATAGACAACTTCGTTTACGAACTCATCAAAATCCTTCAAGTAGGAGAACTTTACCCCAAGTTCCTCTCTCTAATAGAGCCTCACAAATGAGGAGCCGCATGGCAACTAGATCGTCAAGACCTACCGCATCATCTAGAGGAAGACGCCCCCGGTTTCCTACAGATATGGACCTAGACATGGTATTTTTCTACTCTTTCATTTTGCTCATCTTATTATTTTACACATTTATCCCTGCAAAATTATTTTTCTATAACCTGCATGTTCTAATAACCAGCTAATTAAATAGCAAGAATCTTTACTAAGTTACCAACTGCATCTATCTCTGTTGCGCAGAGACTTGATATATTGGAAGCATTAGAGGAAGCAGTAGGGGATTTTAATGACATGGGAATGGCTGATAACATCCTTAATGGTCATCGTGATTTCAATGAGTAAGTTTTTAGCGAATAATTTATGCACATAATTTAAGTCATGTTCCATACTCTTGTGTAGAATGACAACCATCAGATTTTGCTCATTGCATCTTTAACAAGGTGGTGGTCTCCAACTCTTGTTATTGGTGGGTAGGTATAGAAATATACTTTTTCTATTTTGTATATTCTAGTACATATGAGGTATTTATAGAATATAAATTACACTAGGAAATAGGGGTAATTATTCTCCCTATAAATGCTAATCCTAAAGGTAAGAATATAATAATACAGTTAATTTCTATTTAATCACAATTTAAATCCAGCCATAATGAGCTGTATGACAGAATCTGTTTTGATTTTGTGCTAATATTCAACACTCCCCCTCAAGCTGACATGAATATATCGTTCATAGCAAGCTTGCACACCATGTTATCAAAGAGTCTCTTTGGAAGACTCTTTGTGAGAACATCTGCTACTTGACTTTTGGTGGGTATGTGGACATACAAATCTCACCGCTGTCAATTTTTTCTTTGATGAAATGCTTGTCCACTTCAACATGCTTGGTCCTGTCATGTAGGACAGGATTATGGGCAATAGAATTAACAACCTTATTGTCGCAGTAAACTTTAATTAGAGTTGGGCCAAAAAACTTCAATTCTTCCATGAACTTTTTTATCCATAATACTTCACAAAAACCATGGGCCACAGATCGGAATTCAGCTTCTGCACTGCTCCTGGCTACAACATTTTGTTTTTTGCTCCTCCATGTAACTAGATTTCCCCCTACAAAAGTACAATATCCTGAGGTACACCTTCTATCATTTATATTACCTGCCCAATCAGCATTTGTATAGGCTTCAACCTGTATATGTCCTCTATTTCTGAATATCAGCCCCTTTCTCGGAGTACCTTTCAAATATCTTAATATTCTGAAAATAGCTTCAAAGTGGGCTGCACCTGGTGCATGCATAAATTGGCTTATTACACTCACTGCAAAGGCTATATCTGGCCTTGTATGTGACAAATAAATTAGTCTTCCAGCCAATCGTTGATAATGTTCTTTATCTACTATTTCATCTTCAGCAACTGACTTTAGTTTCACATTGGGATCCATTGGTGTTTCTATTGCGTTACACCCTGTCATCCCTGTTTCTGCAAGTAAATCGAGTATGTACTTGCGCTGGTTGAGAAAAATCCCTTCTTTAGATCTGGCGAACTCCATCCCAAGAAAGTATTTTAACTTTCCAAGATCCTTGATATCGAACTCAGCCTCAAGTCTTCTCTTCAGATCACTAATTGCTTTGACGTCATCTCCTGTAATAATAATGTCATCAACATACACTATTAAGATAACAATCTTACCTTCAGATGAGTGTTTAAAGAACATAGTGTGATCTGCTTGACTTTGGGTGAAGCCATGTCTCTTAACAACACTTCCAAATCTCTCAAACCAGGCCCTTGGCGATTGTTTCAATCCATATAAGGATTTTCTCAATCTGCATACTTTGTTTCTTCCAAGATTTTTTTCAAATCCAGGAGGTAAACTCATATATACTTCTTCATGTAATTCCCCATTCAAGAAGGCATTTTTAACATTATATTGATAGTGTTGAAATTTACTGCAAGAGAAAGAAGAATTTTGATAGAATTGATCTTAGCAACCGGGGCAAAAGTCTCCTGGTAATCAATACCATGAGTTTGAGTAAATCCTTTTGCTACTAATCTCGCTTTGTATCTTTCCACATTTCCATCAGCCTTGCATTTCATTGTAAAGACCCATTTACACCCTACTGCCCACACTTCCATCAGCCTTGCATTTCACTGTAAAGACCCACTTACACCCTACTGCCTTTTTATCTTGTGGTAGATCAGTGATACTCCAAGTGTTATTTTTGTTTAGAGCATCCATCTCTTCTTTCACTGCTAATTTCCAATTCGGATCACTTAATGCTTCCTGAATAGTTCTGGGCACAAACAAATTAGAAATCCTAGACACATGCCTTGTGGGTGTGTGATAGTTTGTCATATGACAAGTAATTAGACATAGGATGTTTAGTGCACATACGAGAACCTTTCCTCTCAGCAATTGGGACATCGAGGTCAGGAATATTTTTTCTCACAGAAATTGGAAGATTAATATCAGGAAAAGACAAATCAGATAAACCATTGGATGAGTAAGAAGGATTACCAGATGAAGAACTAGAAGACAGATTATCTGTAGGACCTTCACTTGGTAAATCAGATTGGATTTCTACTAGAGAGACAATAGGGTTTGCACCACCTTTGTGGAATTTTTTTCGAACATACACTTTAAGTTCAGGATTATCATCCTTAATCAGTGTTTCTCCCCCTGTTTCAGATTCTATTATCTTAGCATTTGGGTGATTTGTAGTCACAATATCATCTAGAGCAGGCAAAGTTTCCCAAAAATTATCTTCTTTATTATTACATTGACTCTCCCCCTGAAGAGAATTTTTAAAAAAAGGTTGATTTTCAACAAAGTGAACATCCATGCTTTCAAAAAATTTCTTTGTAACTGGGTTAAAACATTTGTATCCCTTTTTATTGGAAGTATAGCCAAGAAAAACACATTTTTCGGCTTTAGGATCCAACTTAGAACGAAAAACATTGGGGATGTAAACATAACAGAGACAACAAAAAATTTTAAGGGGAAGATCCGTAATAATACGAGATGTAGGAAAATTGTTTTGTAACACTTGTACAGGACTTTCATATTGTAACACCCGAGATGGCATTCGATTGATGAGGTGACAAGCAGTTAATAAAGCATTTCCCCAAAGATACTTAGGTACATTCATAGAAAACATAATAGCTCTAATAACTTCGAGGAAATGTCTATTTTTTCTTTCAGCAATACCATTTTGTTGCGGAGTATCGCGACAAGTGGATTGATGAATTATTCCCTTAGTTACAAGGAATGTACTTAAATATTTGTTGAAATATTCAGTGCCACTGTCAGACCTTAGAATGCCAATCTTAGTTTGAAATTGATTGTTAATCATGTTAAAAAAATCTTGAAATCTTTGTTCAACTTCTGATTTTTTCTCCATGTGATAAACACAGTCGTGTATGATCATCAATAAATGTTACAAACCATTTTTTTTCAGACATAGTTTTAATTTTTGAAGGACCCCAAACATCACTGTGAATTAAATAAAAAGGTTTGGAAGCAGAATAGATTTTTGATTTAAAAGACACACGATGACCTTTAGCTAAGTGACAAGCTTCACAATGAAATTGTGAGGAACTTATTTCTTTGGAAAAAATAGGAAACAAATGCTTAAGATATGAAAAACTAGGGTGACCTAATCTTTTATGCCATAACATAATTTGATCTGAAACAGGAGATGAGTTTGTACTATTTGAACCGAAAAACGCTTTATTGCCAAACTGAATTCCATCAAGGTAGTACAATCCATTCATCTCTCTAGCAGTTCCAATCATCTTCCCCGAGTTCTGGTCCTAAAAAACACAAGTAGAGGGACGAAAAAGAACAGAACAATTAGTGTCCTTAGACAATTTATGAACAGATAGAAGATTACAAGCGAATTTAGGAACATGTAAAATAGATTGCAAAGTGATCTGCTCTGAAATTTTTATGCTGCCTTTGCCTGCAATACTTGAATAACTACCATCAACTATCCTAACTTTTTCAAAACCTGAACTAGGAAAATAGGTACCGAATAGATGAGAGCAATTAGTCATGTGTTCAGATGCCCCTGAATCTATTATCCAAGGGTTAGAGTGGTTGTGAGCAGATAGTGCCCAAGAATCCTTACCTGTTTGTGCCATAGTTCCAGTAGGAATATTAAGAGATGAATTGGACGTTAGAAACTTAAGAAGGTTATCCATTTGCTCCTTCGTACATGGAGACGAATCAGCCTCATTGGCCATAGGCATAGGACGATCACCAAACTTACCAGCCTTGCCATGATTTGGTCGTCCATGTAGTTTGTAGCAAGTTTACCGAGTGTGGCGATTGCGCCCACAGTAATCGCAAAATAAATGAGTCTTGTCTCCACCTCGTTGATTATGAAGTGGTTTACGATTGACATGGGGAATTGCCAAGGCAGATCCTTCAACTGGTGGAGGGACAACTGCTGTATTTTTGCCAAGCATCACTTGCCGACGACTCTCTTCGCGACGTACTTCTGAAAAGACTTCACCAATTGGAGGGATAGGATTTCTGCCTAGAATTCGACCACGAACCTCATCAAAATCAACATTTAGACCTGCAAGGAACTTGAAAACACGACTAACATCCACCATCTTCTTGTAATGTTTGCTATCGGCAGGTGATTTCCACTCATACTCATTGAAAAGGTCCAAATCTTGCCAAATACGTTTGAGACAATTGAAGTATTTGGTGACTCAATCTTCACCTTGCCGAATTTCTCCCAATTTGAGAGTTAATTCGTAGATTTGGGATTGATTTTCCAAATCATAGTACATTTGAGAGACACCTTCCCAAAGTTCTTTTGCAGTATCATAACAGAGATAATTTGCACCTATCTCTTCATCCATGGAGTTGGCTAACCATGTCATGACCATGGAGTTTTCAGCATCCCATGTATCATAATCTGCACCTGCCTTGTCTGGTTGTTTTTTGTCGCCAGTGATGTAGCCAACCTTTCCTCTCCCCCTGAGATACATACGAACGGATTGCGACCATCGAAGATAATTAGCACCATTCAGCCGAATTGTTGTGATCTGAACAGGGTGGTTTTCATGGTACGTCCGGACTAATTTAGGTTCGGGTGAGGAATGTTTGGGTGAAAGTGAGGACTCGGTATCAGACATTGTGGGATGTAAAAAAAGATAAACAGAGCGGAAGCAAAAACAAAAAAAACCCTAAATGATTCTTGTTGCTACTGATACCATATAGAAATATGCTTTTTCTATTTTGTATATTCTGTAACACAATACATATGAGGTATTTATAGAATATAAATTACACTAGGAAATATGGGTAATTATTCTCCCTATAAATGCTAATCCTAAATAAGGTAAGAATATAATAATACAGTTAATTTCTATTTAATCACAATTTAAATCCAGCCATAATGAGCTGTATGACAGAATCTGTTTTGATTTTGTGCTAATATTCAACCGTAGGTGTATTTCACTCTCACTTAAGATATACATTTTGAATCATCATTTTTTGTTAATGATATGCCATATCTTTAATACCTTTAACATTATTATATCATATCCTTAATCATCTCATTGGATTAGTCTGAAGATTAGTTTTCAATTCAGTTATTATCATGAGTTATTTCTATAATTGATTAGGAGTTTTGTATCTCTGTAAATAGCAGTTAATGATTAGTCTTTTGTATAGAGTTATTATCAATCATATTACACCATTATCATATTCAAAGTCCTAATTATTTCTCTTCTCCTTTTGTATAAAATCAAACAACTTCCAACAGTTTCTACTTGTATGCCGATGGAAAACTGTATATATGGTGGGGTTTGACAATTTAGAAACAAACATATTTTCATTTAGGCTGGGGACCAAATCATCATTCTTCTTCTATTCTATGAATCAACCAGGCAGATGTTTCCCTTGTAACATTTTAGTTTGGTTTATTACTTTACTACACTATCCTCTACCAAAATGTTGATTTTATCTATCTTCTTACTTTCCATTCCTACAATTTTGAGGGGAGGCAACATAGAAATCATCCCTCCATTTTTATATGAAGTAGTATAGTAGTATTGCACTGGTAAAGACCAGAAGTCTTTTGGATGTGGAAGGGGCCCATAGTATACACAGTTTGGCATGTGTTTTCTTTTTCTTGATACCTTGATTTTCTTACAAGGTTCTTGTGCATGGTAGCTTCACAATTGTATAGGAAAGCTTTGTCTGGCATTATTCTTATTTCTTTAAAAATATAACATTAGAAGTTCATGTCTGCCTTGTGGCATCATGCAGAAATGATTATGAAATGTTATTGGCGCTTGATGATCAAAACCACCAGCATACCGGTGCATCTACCAATCTGATCAATAGCTTGCCTCAGTCCACCGTCCAGGTAGTTTATCGGCCGACCCATCCTCTACACTTTTTAGAACCTTTCCTTTTCTGTTGTCAGTTTTGCGGCTTTGGGACAGAGAACCAGCTGATGGGGAAAGTAAATGTTGTGGAGTTCAACACTAATTAATGTTGTTCATTTACTACAGAATGACAACTTCACAGAGAATTGTGCCATATGTATTGAGACCCCTGTCAAGGGCGATATTATTCGCCACCTTCCTTGTTTGCATAAATTTCACAAAGACGTAAGACTAATAAAATAATCTATTTTGTTTTTTTATTTGAAGAAATTGTAAGAATGCTGATGTGTATAAACCTCCATATTATTGCAGTGTATTGATCCTTGGCTTGGTAGGAAAAGGTTGTGCCCGGTCTGCAAGTCATCAATCACCTAGTTATGCTTAGGATTTAAATAGTTAATATATCATGCTGAGATGCTTGTCTCAGCTGTTTCATTTTATTTCCAACAAGGAAAAGCATGAACAATTTGTTTTTGCTTACAAGTTGAAATTGTAAGGGTACACTTTCTTTTCAGAGTACTATTTTCTCTCTTTAGTTAACAAAGAGTTAATAAAAAAGGCATAGAAAAACCTGTAAGTTGATAACTTCATCGGTACGGATCTACTGTTAATGTCTTTTGAACTGTGATTGGTTCTGGAATTGCATATTAGGATTAGAGTAACTGGTTCTGAATTGAGGTCATGCTACTGGTTGTAATGATTGGAGCCTTCAAGTCAGTGGCAAATCCTAAGGTTGTATTATTTCTATGCCAGATGTGTTGCAACTTGATGCAAACACAAGTTTTTGATGGCTGATATTATGGGATTGAAATGAATTTGCATGTTTTAATGTGGGCGCATATGCCAGTGCAAAGTTTCATAAACCCAATAATTGGATGGGTAAAACCCCTTGAAAATAATTTGTCTACTGAAATATCGGCTCTGCAAAAATTCTTGTTCAGCTTTCTTTCCAAAAACATTTGATGGTTAAATTGTATCAAATTTTAATGCAAGTAATATCTGTACATTCCAAGTAATTTATTTAGCCTTGAAGATATAATTTTTCTAAAAATGTAATTTCTTGGTACATTTTTTAAAACTAGGCAATATGATTAGTTCTCTAATTCAAACCTTCAAGAGAATTTGGTTATTTTAAGCATAGAACTGTGATTGTTATCCATTTTCCAATTTAATGATGATATGAGCTAAGGCAGTGTCTAAGTGTACAATCGTGTTCTTCAAAGACTGGGGTTCGACTTTTGAAAGCACGCTATCCCTCTCAAAATGTTCAAGTTGATCTGGGCAAATTTTTATCATCCTTTTGGCTGTTAATATAGTGCAAAATAATTTAGGGATTATCTTTTAAAATTCAAAATTGCCCTTTACGCAGGGGTGTGCATGGATAACGGATTTAGATTTTTTTTTTTTTTTTTTTTTATATATCATGCTATCTTTTTTTATATATCATGCCATTTCTTATGTCTTTTATGAGAGATGACATGATATATAAAAAAGGATAGGATCCAAATCCATGTATAACCATTTAATATGAACTAATTTATTTTTATGGGTATGGTTTATAAATCAAACCACTTGTTTCGAACTGGTTTAAAATTAGTTCTAAATGAATTTTAATTTTAATCTAAATTATTTAATTAAATTTAAATTTTATTTTCTTTAAATTATATTAATTTTTAAATTTAAAATTTTAGGTTTTAATATATTTTTTCTTTGAAAGTTTTAAAAAATATTTAAAAATAAAAAGTATTCAAAAATTTAAAAAAATATTGAAAATAAAAAATTTCATCAAATTATATGAACTTAAAATGGTGAGTAATATGTTATAATACATATATTTGTCTATTTCAAAACCTCTATTTATTGTTGGAGAAATCTATAATATTTGTGATCATTTTTTCATAAAGCTCTAATGATTTTCGAGATTTATAAATGAAAATTAGAGTCAAATTTAACAAATCAAGTTTTGATATATTTTCTTGCACATGTCAAATCAAACTCGATGCACTAAGATCTATATAATTAACTGCTAAAAATCCATATAATTTGTGAAACATTAGTATACCATTTCAGGTAGTTAGAGAATTCCTAAACAATTTTTTTTTATTTCGAAAAACAATTTTTTTTAATTTTTTGTAAAATAATTTTTTTATAAAATTAAAAAAAATAAACTTTGAAATAGTTCAAAATATTTCAAAATATAAAATTGGTTTATAACGTGTATACGATGAATCATGAAAAGAGACAAACACATCAATTTAACAAATAATGAAATTTGGATACCCAATAACTAAACCACATTGTTATTATGGAAATTGGTTTATATTTGAATAACAAAATGGATAACCACATTTATATTTTAGTATTTGATTTGGTTTTTTAAAAGTGGAACAATTCGAATACTAATTTAGTTAATAATAACCAGTTTTTTTGCACACCCCTACCTTTACATACGCACCTCCTACACATCACATTCCTTCTTATACATGTCTCTTATATACCATATTTCTTTGTAAGTGAGTTACATTTTCATTTTCATTTTATTATAAAATTAGTTCTAAATGAATTTTGATTTTAATCTAAATTATTTAATTAAATTTAAATTTTATTTTTTTTTAAATTATATTAATTTTTAAATTTAAAATTTAAAATTTTAGGTTTTAATATATTTTTTCTTTGAAAATTTTAAAAAATATTTAAAAATAAAAAGTATTCAAAAAATATTGAAAATAAAAAATTTCATCAAATTATATGAACTTAAAATGGTGAGTAATATGTTATAATACATATATTTGTCTATTTCAAAACCTCTATTTATTGGTGGAGAAATTTATAATATTTATGATCATTTTTTCATAAAGCTCTAATGATTTTCGAGATTTATAAATGAAAATTAGAGGCAAATTCAACAAATCAAGTTTTGATATATTTTCTTGCACATGTCAAATCAAACTCGATGCACTAAGATATATATAATTAACTGCTAAAAATCCATATAATTTGTGAAGCATTAGTACACCATTTCAGGTAGTTAGAGAATTCGTAAACAATTTTTTTTCATTTCGAAAAACAAAATTTTTAATTTTTTGTAAAATAATTTTTTTATAAAATTAAAAAAAATAAACTTTGAAATAGTTCAAAATATAAAATTGGTTTATAACGTGTATACGATGAATCATGAAAAGAGACAAACACATCAATTTAACAAATAATGAAATTTGGATACCCAATAACTAAACCACATTGTTATTATGGAAATTGGTTTATATTTGAATAACAAAATGGATAACCACATTTATATTTTAGTATTTGATTTGGTTTTTTAAAAGTGGAACAATTCGAATGCTAATTTAGTTAACAATAACCAGTTTTTTTGCACGCCCCTACCTTTACATACGCACCTCCTATACATCACATTCCTTCTTATACATGTCTCTTATATACCATATTTCTTTGTAAGTGAGTTACATTTTCATTTTATTATAAATTAGTGCAAAGATGTATTTCTATAAAATTTACAGAAATATATTTATATAATACTTTTTAGAGTAAGATTCGACATCTTTTAAGAAATATATTGGTGTAATAACTATGTTGATATAATAGACCATTTACTTATGAGTTTAAAGATAATGCATTGTCAGTGTAAGACAGTTTTACACATGTTATCAATTAAAATGTTTATAATTGTAATGTAATATCAGTATTTTTAAAATAAAAATATATTTTATTCTGATACATGGTTATGATTAGTTGACAGTGTAAAATATTTTACACTGTCAATGCATTTCTTTTTTTCTCTTCATTTATTATAAGTATACTATCTTAATAAATTTATTATCAATTAAACCATACACTGATGTAATAAAATTAAAATGTCATATATTAGAATCAATCCACAATCCATAATACTATCAAAATGACAAATTACAAACCAAATACAAATACTGTCGAATAAAAAAAAAGTGAACTACTAGGTATATGTGATCCATTGTTCCTTTATTGCTTCTTGTATTACAATGTCGTATGTGCCTCAGATAAAATGACATCTACAATTGTCCTTCCAGGAGCGCCTTCCGGAAGCTCATCTCTTTATATTTGCTCACGCAATATCCATAATACGACATCAGGTAAAACATCAACGACATGATCTGCCCTAGTTCACACCTCCTCTAATATATTCTAATGAGCTAACCTATTTGCATCTACGTGAGCATTTAGTGTTATGTAAGGATGTGATACTCTAAAATGGCATTGGATGTAGAAAATTGCACTACTCCATGGATGAAGAGCTAACACACTTTATGCTTCTCTGGTACCAGATGATTGTAGAAACCATCAAACATCACATTATTTTTGCGAACTATAGCAGGAGGAGAAAACACAAAGTAGTCTCTTGAAACTCTCTGTAGAAATCCGAACTAGCACATGACTTGTTTAAGCAGATGTAGATAAATCATGTGTAACCGACAAGCCAACCATCTGAAGTAGAAGGTTATGTCTTCCAACGGATGCACTTGATAGTGATAATCATACAATGTGTAACTTATAATCATCATGTGCAGTACAATTAATAAACACTCTAAAATAATCCGTCGTTCGATTCCATCTGAGTGGGACGAATCCACAAGCACGTGATAAATCCTCATAGTAGTCATCCACATATGACCAGTTGGGGATACAAGGAAAGTGATAGAGGATTCATGCCTAAAAATGGTAAAGATGAAATATTAATAATGACGTAGCACAAATGTTATGAAATATTAGTAATAGTAAAGAAGGGTTAGGCGATGTATAAACCGTTAATTCTCTATGCCATTACTCGGGGTCTCCTATCCATATTCAACCAACATAAGTAGAACAATTGCCCTAGGTCCAACACATAAGCAAAGGGTCAATATTCCCTATGTGTCCAAAATCAGATTAACAAAGTATCTCAAATAAAAAGCATTAAGATTAAGCAATAACTGAATAGAATTATAGATCAAAGGTTCATACAAAGGTCAAATCAACATATAATCCAACAATAGAAAAATAGGTTCATTATAACACAAACTAACCTAAGATAATTTAGCTACACATTATTCAGAAAATAATACCATAATTGATAGATAAAAATAACATGAAGTCCCTTGAAGAGATGGCCTCTGATGACTTCAAATGCTCTAAAAATATCTTTTTGTACTCCCAAATTCGTGCTATTTTCTCCAATTTTTGTAACCCTTATAAAATAGCAGAAAATCCCCTTTTAAAGCAGTCAGAACGCGTCAGAAAAAGCCCCAAAAAAACCTATTGCGTGCATGATGCAACTACTTCGGTTCTATCAAGCACACGATGAAGCGCGATGGTGCGTATGATTATTCCAGTAACTGCGTGAA